GGGTCCTCCAATTTTATTAGGGCATTGTAATGGGCAGCCCAATTTTGTGGGTTTTTTTGCAGACCCTCCCCCCGCCAAAGAACCAAAGTGTAATTTGAACCTCAAGTTTCAACAAGGTATAAAAAGCTGCAGGGTACTCTCATAGGTAATGATCAGTGTTTATAGTGGAGTTGCAATCCTTTTCAGGCCCTAGAATATCCACTTAAAATGTAGTACACCCACAATGCTCCAGACTGACCCTTATTTTACCTACTCCAAGATTTCAATACTCTTTATCTTGCACTAAGACCATTAACCTTCTTTTCTTAAATAGTTACATTTATGATCATTAACTTGGATACTATTTATGTGTTTCTAAAAACCTAGTTTTGGTTGATGTGACTCCAATGCACAGAAGTTTTCTGCTTGGGAACTCTTTGCGACACCTCTCTAAAACGCAGCCATTTGAGAACATCCTGAGACGGCTCAAATCCGCCATGCTACTGACTTAACTAAGTCTAAAAACTTGTCATATAAATTAAAAACATGGAGACTCCCCACTTGCTTACAGGGTGGATTTGATTTAAATCATGATTTAAAATCACTGCTCAGTAAGCCTTGATTTAATCATTGTTTTCTATAAAAAAATTTTAAAAAAAATGCATTCTTGTGGTTTGATATCATCTCCATTAAAATATTCCCAAACAGGTTCCCTTTTATGGCCTGGCAAGCCTGATGCTGTGATAGATTTTCCCTTTTACCATACCTTTCCCTCACTAGATTTCAAATCAATGGAGAGGCTGATCTCAGAATCCTGCCTCAGGCAGAAGGCTGGGCTAGATGACCCCCTAGAGATCCCTTCCAGCTTGAATGGAATCTCTCTTGCTTCTACTGCCCCTCCCTCCTTACATTTGTCTCCAGACTCCTCCACCTTGCCCAAATCTACTCCACCCCCAACATTCGTCTACTCATTTAACTTCTTGAAACTTAGCCCTTTTAAAGTGCTTCCCTTCGAGATCTAACTCCCTGCCTGCTTAATTTTTATGACCGTTCATTCTTTTGAGAACTAATTGCTTGCATAGAAATCATAGAAAGGGATGGAAGGGACCTCCAGAGGGCATCGAGTCCAGCCTCCTGCCTGAGGCAGGATCCTTCATATTCATACCTATTGATTAGTACTAGAAGCCATGCAGAGGAGGCAAGGGAGCAGGTAGATGGGGAGAGCCTGAACCAGCCCTTATCACTTCACACCATGCTTCTGTCAGTGGGTGGCACAGGGTGAACATCTAGGAGCCCAGTGAGGGAACAAAAGACCAGGGCAGGTAGGCCTGCAGTGGTCCTGGGGAATGACCCAACACTACACCCTTCTGGAGTTGGATGGGGTGGTTGAGTTGCCTGTGGCAGGGCAGCATCCAGGAAATACCACACCTAGAAGTATGGAGTGGCGGAAAGCTTCAGCCCCCATTGCCTTGTGGATGACCCTGTGGAGGGAAAAGGTTAGGGGAGCACACCCCAACATAAAGGGCCCAGGTCCACTGAGTAGGGCTTGAGGCAGGGTTCAGACATGTCAAGTCACCTGAAGCCTGAGCGGGCTGTAAGCCTAGAGTGAGGTCCAACCATGTTGACAGACACCTGAGGCCCAAGTGAGGGGGCCCAGAGGCCCCAGTGAAGGGGCAGAGTAGAAGCCCCAGTGAGGGGCATGTCCAAGAACACCTGACACCAAGTTTGGGCCAGAGGCTGAGCATGCCCAAGCAATGGGGCGAGGGGAGTAATAGTGGAAGTGATTTTTGGTCACTTCCATAGTGTAGTGATGCCATCTACAAGGCATGGGACATAGTAAAGGGGAAGTTAGAGCAGAGTGTTATGCCCTTGGCATCAGGATATTAAATGGGCAGCTTCCATATCCTTCCTCTGCTTTTAATACATCAAAGCATGGCAGGCGGACTGCCTTAGGCAGGTGGGCGGGCCAACATTGTGACTGGCCCTGGAGAGGGCCCTGTCTCACACGTCATGTAGCAACAAATTCTTATTACACTCAAATAATTGTTCATCAAAAGTTCTGAGAAATGCAGTGTGAGACTCGTTTTAGCACAGCCAAATGAAACTGATATCAGTAATATAGTAAGAAAATTAAAAAGAAATAATGCAAAGCATTGCGTGTTGCAAATAGTATAGAACAAAACCACGTATAAACCTATTCAAAAGACTATGGAAATTTCTGACTCCGCAGTGTTTAGAATGAAATCCATAGATCATCAGTTTAACTAGATGAGAATACCTCCATTTATGTACGAATGTAGCTTCCAGTCTTTTTAGTTGAAGCTTTTCTTTTCAATGGATCTGTCTGAGCCCATGTCCTAGTATAGCTAATGTCTAACCTGTTTTGTTTCTACTTAATTTCTGTCTGTGTTTTTTTCCATCTAACACATTTTCCTTTCTATTATTCATTTTTATTTATTCCCCCTTGGATTTTAAAACTACATCTGCACTTAATCTTGTTCTGTTCGAAAGTATTTTTGTTTAATTCACTAATCAAATTTATATGACATTTTATAGTGATAAATGTAGCAGTTAGCCTGTAGCGGACTGATACAGCCACAGCGTGGCAGGAGTGTTCTTAAAAAGTAGTTATGATCCACTACAGCTTAATGTTGGCAAAATGGAAAACCTTTAACATTCTGGATGATGCTCCAGGGGTTTGTCATGCTACTTGGTCAGAAAAGGAAAATGCAGACCCACAGAGAGAGAAAATACTAACTATAAAAGGAAAGGTGGATTCAGGTCAACAAGAGAGTCACTGAAGGGTTGGATAATAGCCACATCCTGAAAAACATTTGTGCATAAAGAGAGGGAATAGGCTTCTTCTGACAGAAGTATGGCTGAAAGGGACCTCCAGAGGTCAGCTAGTCCAAGGGTAGGGTAGGCAAAATATAGCCATGGGCCATATGCAGCCCACCGGCTGCTGTGGAGAGCCTAAAGAGGGCTGAGCTCTTTATTGCTCTGCTCTGTCACAGCCAGGGCCAGGCCAGGCAGTGTGCAGACTTCTTCCCTTGCCCCTGCATCCATTTCCCCCCCCCCACACCTGGCTTCCTGCTGGCGCTATGGCTGTGCTGGCACGAAACTGTGCCCACTGGCAGCCAGGTCCATATGGTAGCATGCCAAGTAGCCATCCTACCTATCCACTACAATGAGCCACTACCACTGTGGCACTGCTAGATCTTGCTGGCCGTGGTGGGGAGGAGAGAACAGGCTCATGCATAGGGCTGTCTTCCTTTCATTCCTCTGCTTGCACCTCTGAGCAGCCAAAATTTTGCTGGGCAGAGTCCACTGGCTCCCCCAACTCATGCAGGGGGGAGCAGGCACTGGCTGGTGTGCTTCACTCCCTTATTACAAACCTGTGACCTTCACTCCCTCACCTGGATCTTTTTTTTTTCCTTTTATAAATTGCCCCAAGTTGCCTGTGGCAGGTTAGGGTGCTAGGTCTGTGTGGTGTCAAGGTTGAGAGTAGCCTTATGTAGAATTAGATCAGGCTTGTTCAACATATGGCCCACAGGTCGCCATGCAGCCCACCAAGCTGTTTTCTGAGGCCTGAGGTACTGCGACAGGAAAGGAAAGTAAACACTGTTTACTTTCATTCCCACCCCCTGTCCCTCCCCCAGACCCTCAGCAGCTTCCTAATGGCTGCTGAAGGGCTGGGGAAGGGACAAGGTTTCCACGTGCACCGCGTCAGCTTGACGTTGCCGACACGGTGCATGTGGGAAGAGGAGTAGCTATGTGCCACTGAGGACAGGATGAGCCCAGCCAGAGCAGCAGGGCCTCAGCTGCACTTTCCCCCTACCTGCACTGGTCACTCCTGAGCGGCACACAGTTCCGCTGCCGCTTCTGCTGGCTGGTGCCAACCTGGGCGGATCTGTCCCATCCGGAGCAGCATACAGCTGAAGCCGGATTCCCACATGCTGCTGGGGACAGGAGGAACCCAGCCGGGTCAGCACCGGCCAGCAGAAGCGGCGGTGGAGCCATGTGCCACTCAGGACTGACCGGAGCAGGTAGGAGGAAAATGCAGCTCAGCCCCTGCTGCTGTGGCTGGGCTCATCCCATCCTGAGCAGCACACGGCTCCGCCGCCGCTTATGCTGGCTGGTGCAGACCCATCTGGGCTCCTCCCGTCCCCAACAGCTTGTGGGAAGCTGGCTTCAGCCACATGCTACTCCGGAAGGGACGGACCCAGCCGGATCAGCACTGGCCAGGAAAAGTGGCATGCAGCTGAAGCTGGCTTCCCACATGCTGCTGGGGATGGGAGGAGCCCAGTCAGGTATGCACCGGCCAGCAGATCGGTATAAAGTGACAAGCCTATGGCTGGAGAGGGGTCAGGCTCCCTAGATCTGAGACCTGATATAGGCTATGGCACAGAGACTCACTCTGGAACAACGGCTAATGAACTCGTGTCTGTACCTGCCAGGAACCCAAGTAGCAGGTGGTTGATACCTGGTAAGCTCATGCGAGCAAAGACTGCTTATTGCTTTCTGTGTGGCCTTCAAAATGTTTTTATTCTACTAAAATCTGCCATACTTTGTGAGAGTCATTGCGTCTGTATGAGAAAGCAGAATCATAGCCACTGAACTAAATTCATGCCCCGTGGGAATAATCACAATTCAGCAAAATGGGCGGGAAGGAAAAGCCGGAGTTCTAAGTGTGCACCCTAAGAGAGGCCATGAAAGAGTCAGAAGCACAACCTTGGAACCAGGACAGCTATCCGGTGACGGCAGTCCAGGAGGCATGATGGGAATCCTCTACTCTCATGAGATTTAGGAAAGCAAAAGGACATGAGAGCAACATGTAGGCAGAGACAGTGCAGGGTCTTGGAGCCATGTTAATAAAGTGAGGACAACTGTGTTCCCACCCTGGTCAGTGACTAATTGTGGGTACATCTTCACTAGCTTCAAGCCACTCAAACCTGCTGCCAAAAAATAAGCCCTTCCTACCCACTTACACTTTACCTGCTCTGAACTAAATTCAGAGGGGGACACCTGGGGGACAATGACCATCAAATAATAAAATTCACCATAAGGCGTAGAGTGGGAAAGGTAACTAGTAGGGTGGAAGTGCTACACTTTAGGAAGGCTGACTTCGGCAAACTCAGGCGTTTAGTCAATGATGCACTGCAGAGTAAGAGATTTGGTGAGATGGGAGCCCAGGAAAGGTGGCTATACCTTAAGGAAGCGATCCTTCGGGCACAGAGGGAGATGATCCTGATGTGGGGGAAAAAGGGTGAAAGGGGCCAAGAGGCTTCCTTGGCTGACCAAAGAAATCCAGAGCAGCCTAAGCGCAAAAAGGGGGGCATACAAGCAGTGGAAACAGGGAGAAATTACTAAAAAGGGGAGTATGCCTCCTCAGCTCGCAGTTGTAGGGAGGCAGTTAGAAAAGCCAAAGCTACCATGAAGCTGAGGATGGCATCTCAAGTTAAGGATATCAAAAAATTGTTTTTTAGATATATAGGGAGTAAAAGGAAGGCCCAGGGCAGTATAGGACCACTACTGAACAGGCAAAAGCAATTAGTGACAGACAGGGGGGGGACAAGGCTGAACTCTTCAATGAGTTCTTTGCCTCAGTTTTCCTAAACGAGCGGCAAAACAAGTCTCACAATGGGATCGTAGAGAGACAACAGCAGGGCAACAGACTACCAAGCACTGACCCCGAGATGGTGCAGAGTCACTTGGAAGGACTGGATGCATTTAAGTCGGCAGGCCCAGATGAGCTCCATCTGAGGCACTGGCTGAGGTCATTGCAAAGCCACTGGCAAAAATGTTTGAGCACTCGTGGTGCACGGGCCAGGTCCCGAGGGACTGGAAAAGGGCCAGTGTGGTCCCCATTTTCAAGAAGGGGAGGAAGGAGGATCCAGGCAACTACAGGCCAGTCAGCCTCACCTCCATCCTTGGTAAAGTCTTTGAAAAGATTATTAAGACTCATATGCGAGAGCCCAGCAGAAAAAATTATGCTGAGGGGAAACCAGCACAGGTTTGTAGCAGGTAGATCATGCCTGACTAATCTAGTCTCTTTTTATGACCAGGTTACAAAACACCTGGACGCAGGAGTAGGGGTAGATATCGTTTACTTAGACTTCAGGAAGGCCTTCGATACGGTATCGAACCCCATACTGGTGAACAAGTTAAGAGGCTGTGACTTGGATGATTACACAGTCCAGTGGATGGCAAATTGGCTAGAGGGTCATACCCAGAGAGTGGTGGTGGACGGGTCGGTATCGACCTGGAAGGACGTGGGCAGTGGGGTCCCGCAGGGCTCGGTCCTTGGAACAATACTCTTCAATGTCTTCATCAGTGACTTGGATGAGGGAGTGAAGTGTACTCTGTCCAAATTTGCGGATGATACAAAACTGTGGGGAGAAGTGGACGCACTGGAGGGCAGGGAACAACTACAGGCAGACCTGGACAGGTTGGACAAATGTGCAGAAAACAACAGAATGAGATTTAACAAGGAGAAATGCAAAGTGCTGCACCTAGGGAGGAAAAATGGTCAGCACACCTACTGCCTAGGAAACGACCTGCTCGGCAGGAAGGAAGCGGCAAGGGATCTTGGAGTCCTAGTGGACTCCAAGATGAACATGAGTCGTCAGTGTGACGAAGTCATCAGCAAAGCTAACAGCACTTTATCATACATCAGCACATGCATGACAAGCAGAACCAAGGAGGTGATACTTCCCCCTCTATCGGGCACTGGTCAGACCGCAGTTGGAATACTGCATCCAGTTTTGGGCACCGCACTTCAAGAGGGATGTGGATAACCTGGAGAGGGTCCAGAGAAGGGCCACTCGTATGGTTAAGGGCTTGCAGGCCAAGCCCTATTAAGAGAGACTAGGGCACCTGGACCTCTTCAGCCTCCGCAAGAGAAGGTTGAGAGGCGACCTTGTGGCTGCCTATAAATTCATCATGGGGGC